AGAGGACATGCAAAGAAACGGGTGGTTACGAGAGCTAATCAACAAATGCTCTGAAGATATTATAAGGCTCGAGGACGATGAATGCAAGGAAGGGGAGAATTACAAAGAATCCCAGAAGACTCTCGAATCGGTCGTAAGACAATCAGCGGGAAGACTCCCCAAGACAGAGAAACCATGGGATAACATTCGCATCAAAGCCCCCTTCCAAGAAGAAATCAGAGAGCATATCTGGCGTAGACCAGACAGAGTCAAGCCACTGAATGAACTAAAGCTAAGAGGCCTTACTCACTTAAAAGGAAAGCAGGCTGGAGGTCATCTGCATATGTTGCTACAAAGGTCAACCGGTACACAGAGAGAACTGATGGAACAAGATCTGAAGTCGAATATTCTCCCGATTCATAAAATTCTACAAGTGAAGGCTGAAGACTATCATGGAGTAACATTCTACACTTACAGACTTCAACGCACCGATGGGAGCGAATTCACTTGCCAAGAGAACGACTTCATCATGCTGAAACCGGATGACATCTACCAAATGTTCATGGCCTACAGATACCTTCCAGTCAGGCAGAGCATAATATACAGCGAAGGCCTCGCAGCTATCAAGAGATTCATGCTTAGACAAATCCGAGTACACTCTTCACATGACCTACAGATGGCTATTGAGTGCAATCTGAAAAAGACAAATCTGACAAAGCCAATACTGTATGGTCCAGAACTTGAAGATTTCCCAGCCTACCACATCTTCTTCACACCGCCAGCAGTCACCTATCTGAACCACAAGAACGAAAAGCGTCTGATGATAGTCAGTGAAATTGAGAAGTACTGTGACGGAACACTGAAGATAATCAAAGAACAGATTCTAAAGATGAAGGAAGAGCTAGAGAAAAATATTCAAGAGGCATCGTCTTATGTTCAAAAGGAACACTCTACAGTAGAGACTATTCTAAAGGCCATTGACGATCGCCTCGAAAAGAGAAATGTACTGAGGCAATATGAGCATGCACTTGGTATGAGGAAGCACCACTTCAAGTCACAGAAGCAATAAGAGAATGGCACTTGATCACAAAAGGGGAGATTGTTGGAGATATTTAATTGTGAATCAAGTTGGTCATAGATTAGCTTTATATTTAATCCTTGTATTTTATTAGTGCATGAAATAGATAGAAATCAGGCCAAGTGTTAGGCCCATATAAACAGGCTAAAAGCTATTGTTCCAACTTCATTTACAATGCATTAATTAAAAGTTACAGATTAACCATATATTCACAAATGTTTCTGATTTCACTCCGAACTCATGTAGATTTGATGCGATCATATCTTGCTCTATTTTGTGCCACTGAAAGCGTTTAATATCTCGTTGGAAAGATCTTACCATTTTCTAAAACTTGTCTTTAGGCGCTGGTTTCAAAATATAAAGGGATGGTTGCCCAATTACTAAAATACACTGTATTTACACTAAAAGTGCTCTATTTTCTCTGAAAACGCTAAATCATAGAGATAAGGCTAAGTATTTGTGACACTCATATCTTGCTGTGTGTTTATCCGTTTGGAGCGTATGATATCTCGTTGGAAGATAGATCTGAGATCTAAAGCTATTGTTCAAACTTCATTTACAATGCATTAATTAAAAGTTACAGATTAACCATATATTTACAAATGTTTCTGATTTCACTCCGAGCTCGTGTAGAATTTGATATGATCATATCCTGCTCTATTTTGTGCCGTTGAAAACGTCTAATATGTCGTTGGAAAGATCTTACCTAGTTCTAAAACTTGTCTTCAGGCGCTGGTTTTAAAATATCAAGGGATGATTGCCTAATTACTAAAATACACTGTATTTACGCTAAAAGTGATCTATTTTCGCTGAAAACGCTAAATCATAGAGATAAGGCTAAGTATTTGTGACACTCATATCTTGCTGTGTGTTTATCCGTTTGGAGCGTATTATATCTCGTTGGAAAGATAGATCGGAGCTCTAAAGCTATTGTTCCAACTTCATTTACAATGCATTAATTAAAAGTTACAGATTAACCATATATTCACAAATGTTTCTGATTTCACTCCGAACTCGTGTAGAATTTGATGCGATCATATCTTTCTCTATTTTGTGCCGTTGAAAGCGTTTAATATCTCGTTGGAAAGCTCTTACCGAGTTCTAAAACTTGTCTTCAGGATCTGGTTTCAAAATATCAAGGGAGCATTGCCTAATTACTAAAATACACTGTACTTACGCTAATAGTGCTATATTTTCGCTGAAAACGCTAAATCATAGAGATAAGGCTAAGTATTTGTGACACTCATATCTTGCTGTGTGTTTAACCGTTTGGAGCGTATTATATCTCGTTGGAAAGATAAATCGGAGCTACTACTACTACTACTAACAATAATAATAATAATAATAATAATAATAATAATAATAATAATAGTAATAATAATAATAATAATAATAATAATAATAATAATAATAATAATAATAATAATAATAATGATAATGATAATAATAATAATGATAATGATAATAATAATCATAATAATAATAATAATAATCATAATAATCATAATAATCATAATAATAATAATAATAATAGTAATAATAATAATCATCATAATAATAATAATCATAATAATAATCATAATAATAATAATAATAATAATAATAAGAATAATAATAATAATAATAATAATAATAGTAATAATAATAGTAATATCAATAGTAGAAAAAATAGTAATACACTGTATTTATGCTAAAAGTGCTCTATTTTCGCTGAAAACGCTAAATCATAGAGATTGCTGTGTGTTTGGAGCGTATTATATCTCGTTGGAAAGATAGATCGGATTTCTAAAGCTATTGTTCCAACTTCATTTACAATGCATTAATTAAAGGTTACAGATTAACCATATATTCACAAATGTTTCTGATTTCACTCTGAACTCGTGTTGAATTTGATGCGATCACATCTTGCTCTTTGTTGTGCCATTGAAAGCGTTTAATATCTCGTTTGAAAGATCATACCGAGTTCTAAAACTTGTCTTCAGGCGCTGGTTTCAAAAAATCAAGGGATTATTGCCTAATTACTAAAAGACACTGTATTTACGCTAAAAGTGCTCTATTTTAGCTGAAAACGCTAAATGATAGAGATAAGGCTAAGTATTTGTGACACTCATATCCTGCTGTGTGTTTATCCGTTTGGGGCGTATTATATCTCGTTGGAAAGATAGATCGGAGCTCTAAAGCTATTGTTCCAACTTCATTTACAATGCATTAATTAAAAGTTACAAATTAACCATATATAAACAAATGTTTCTGATTTCACTCCGAACTCATGTAGAATTTGATGCGATCATATCTTGCTCTATTTTGTGTCGTTGAAATTGTTTAATATCTCGTTGGAAAGATCGTACCGAGATCTAAAACTTGTTTTCAGGCGCTGGTTTCAGAATATCAAGGGATGATTGCCTAATTACTAAAATACACTGTATTTACGCTAAAAGTGCTCTATTTTCGCTGAAAACGCTAAATCATAGAGATAAGGCTAAGTATTTGTGACACTCATATCTTGCTGTGTGTTTATCCGTTTGGAGCGTATTATATCTCGTTGAAAAGATAGATCGGAGGTCTAAAGCTATTGTTCCAACTTCATTTACAATGCACTAATTAAAAGTTACAGATTAACCATATATTCACAAATGTTTCTGATTTCACTCCGAACTCGTGTAGATTTGATGCGATCATATCTTGCTCTATTTTGTGCCATTGAAAACGTTTAATATCTAGTTGGAAAGATCTTACCATTTTCTAAAACTTGTCTTCAGGCGCTGGTTTCAAAATATCAAGGGATGATTGCCCAATTACTAAAATACACTGTATTTACGCTAAAAGTGCTCTATTTTCTCTGAAAACGCTAAATCATAGAGATAAGGCTATGTATTTGTGACACTCATATCTTGCTGTGTGTTTTTCCGTTTGGATCGTATTATATCTCGTTGGAAAGATAGATCTGAGCTCTAAAGCTATTGTTCAAACTTCATTTACAATGCATTAATTAAAAGTTACAGATTAACCATATATTCACAAATGTTTCTGATTTCACTCCGAGCTCGTGTAGAATTTTATGTGATCATATCTTGCTCTATTTTGTGCCGTTGAAAACGTCTAATATTTCGTTGGAAAGATCTTACCTAGTTCTTAAACTTGTCTTCAGGTGCTGGTTTTAAAATATCAAGGGATGATTTCCTAATTACTAAAATACACTGTATTTACGCTAAAAGTGATCTATTTTCGCTGAAAACGCTAAATCATAGAGATAAGGCTAAGTATTTGTGACACTCATATCTTGCTGTGTGTTTATCCGTTTGGAGCGTATTATATCTCGTTGGAAAGATAGATCGGAGCTCTAAAGCTATTGTTTCAACTTCATTTACAATGCATTAATTAAAAGTTACAGATTAACCATATATTCACAAATGTTTCTGATTTCACTCCGAACTCGTGTAGAATTTGATGCGATCATATCTTTCTCTATTTTGTGCCGTTGAAAGCGTTTAATATCTCGTTTGAAAGCTCTTACCGAGTTCTAAAACTTGTCTTCAGGATCTGGTTTCAAAATATCAAGGGAGCATTGCCTAATTACTAAAATACACTGTAATTACGCTAAAAGTGCTCTATTTTCGCTGAAAACGCTAAATCATAGAGATAAGGCTAAGTATTTGTAACACTCATATCTTGCTGAGTGTTTATCAGTTTGGAGCGTATTATATCTCGTTGGAAAGATAGATCGGAGCTCTAAAGCTATTGTTCCAACTTCATTTACAATGCATTAATTAAAAGTTACAGATTAACCATATATTCACAAATGTTTCTGATTTCACTCTGAACTCGTGTAGAATTTGATGCGATCATATCTTGCTCTATTTTGTGCCATTGAAAGCATTTAATATCTCATGGGAAAGATATTACCGAGTTCTAAAACATGTCTTTGGGCGCTGGTTTCAATTTTGTTTTTTGGATGAAATGTAAGTATATATAAAAAACACCCAAAAATAACATTTTACAATGTATCACACAAAATCTAGAAAGACTATCTAAGTTAGATGAATCTAACCTAAATATAATGCATCAACAAAATAATGGGGCATTCCCCATATCCACCTAATCAGAGAAATCAAATACAAACAATCAATTAAACGGCAGTGGGAAACAATATCAAATCAGCCTAAACCTATTTGAGCAGGCTCAGCTACCATCCTTTTCTTCATCTTCTTATATTGAGTAATTTTTTCCCAGTATTCGTCAAGAATTCTCTGTTCCTCCTCATCTTTCGGCTCATCATCAGATTCCTCATCTTCTGTGTCATCTTTCTCCTCTGATTCGGGCATGGAATCCGATTTAGCCCCCTGGGCAGTGGGCTCAGTCCCTGCAATCCCTTGGTCTGTGTGCAAACCCATAGTACCATCCAAAACAGCGTTGGCAGACCCCTGGGACACTGCCTGCCCAGTATCGGTTGGGTCAGTGCAGCACCCGGTCAGGTAAGCAGCAGCAGGAGGCTCCTGGACTGGCTGGGCAGCAGGTACAGTAGTTCCCACAATTTCCACTTGAGAACCCTCATTCACAATATCCTCTTTCTTATCAACAGTAGCCAAATCCCGTTCTTTTGATGCCAATTTATTGCAAATGAATGGGTGGTGTCCATACATTTTACAATGGAAACAAAAGTGAGGGAAAGTTTCATAAACCACCATTTGTTTGACTACCTTACCGGAAGGTAACCGTATAGGAAAAGAAAGCGAGGGTGGTTTAGAAACATCAACTTCAATCAGAACTCTGGCAAAGTGGTGATTACTCCTATTTTGAGTAACTTTGTCCGTAGAAAGCGGGACCCCCACCATAGATGCAACCTCACTCATAGCCTCCTCATTCCAAAGTTTCATATGTAGATTAGGAAATTTTACCCAAATCGGGACTTTGAGAAACTCATCATCATCAAAGGAAAAATCTTCCGAAAGCGTTTTTAACATGAGTTGTATACCAAAGATGGTATAAGGACCTCCATTCAACACTTTTGATCTATCTTCATCATTTTTAAATTTGAAAATAATCCATCCCTTGTTATGCTTATCAACCATGCAAGTAACCCCCCAAGTTTTTTTCAAGTCATACACCGCTTTAAGGCCCGGAAACTTCCCGGTAAAGAAACCCACAAGACAAAATCCCCACATGTCGACCATAGAGGGCAAGACTCTATCCGTAAAATCTAAAGAATTGCCTTTCGGCGGGATATACCTCAATTTCAAGCCCTTTGAGGGGTCCCGGTTGTATTTGAAAAGTGAAGACCAAGCTCTAGCAGCCCCTGCACCCCCATATTCAGTTTGTGCAGGTGCTTTTTCAATCAGTTTTGCCCCTACATTAACTGCAGCAACAGTACCCTTAGCGGCAGGTGGAGCCTTAGCAGGTTGTTCCGGAGTAGTATGCTCATCCCCCTGAGTCAAAGCCAAAGTTTCTGCCAGACCAGCTGCTAGAGTAGCAGCCCCGGTATGCAGAGGTCCTTTCCCAGAGATGTTAGCAGCTGCATCCCCATTTGTATTCTTCTCCAGTGGCTGCTTAGCAATTGCTTGAGGAGCAGTCCCCATATGCCCTGTTTTTTCAGCACCTGCAGCATGGGAGTTCTGTCCAGCTTTCCCAAAGTCCCCAGAAGTGGTCTGCCCAGGCTTAGCAGTAAGTAAGGCCCCTGTAGCTGTAGGTTCTATACTAGTAGCTATTGCATCTTTCTTTGCAGTCACAGGTGTAGGCGAATTCCCAGTAGGTTTCCCAGGAGTTTTAACCTTAGCAGTTGGTTTGTCTCCCAGTTTCATCACATTCATGTTCTGCAATTCAGGGAAATTCTCATCCAAGTTTTCTAAAGCTTCGAGACCTGACTTGGTCTTAATCCCAGCCTGCATCGTTACCTGTTTAAGCAGTCCAGAAGTCCCTACAGCACCGGTTCTTTCTGCAGCAGCAGTGAATTCCGCAGCCCTTGTACCATGAATTTTCACACAGGCGACTGGGATTTCAACATCTATGTCTCCAAGAACATCAAACCTAGACGAAGAGCGCGTACAACGCATCCTGGGATTTTCCCAAAATTCGCGTCTATTTTTCCGCATCGCACACCACAGGAGACCTTTTTCAGACCTAAAATCTGATCAGGGTGCAGAGACAGACGAAATCCAGGTTGGCTAGCCGGTCCGGATACCACACCAGTCCCAATTAAACCTGTTCTGCAACGAAGCACCTGCGAAATACGAGCAGAAACCTTCGCACCAGAAAATCGATTTTGGCCAAGATGGCCTTAAAACAATATACCAGTAACTAATCCGAGCACGGAAATCAAAATGGGAGTGAAATTCGTCCGACAAACACAAAAAACGCAGCTCAGTCGAAGAATCGAAGGCAACCATCCTTCCGCGTGAGTCTGGAACGAAGGTTCCAGAGAGAGACGCTCTCAACACGCGTGAACTCCATTCAGGCGCGGAAAGTATGAACTCTAAGTTATACTTTGGGCGCTGGTTTCAAAATATCAAGGGATGATTGCCTAATTACTAAAATAAACTTTATTTACGCTAACAGTGCTCTATTTTCGCTGAAAACGCTAAATCATAGAGATAAGGCTAAGTATTTGTGACACTCATATCTTGCTGTGTGTTTAACCGTTTGGAGCGTATTATATCTCGTTGGAAAGATAGATCGGAGCTAATAATAATAATAATAATAATAATAATTATAATAATTATAATAATAATAATAATAATAATAATAATATAATAATAATAATAATAATGATAATGATAATAATCATAATAACAATAATAATACTAATAATAATAATAATAAGAATAATAATAATAAGAAGAATAATAATAATAATAATAGTAATAATAATAGTACCAAAAATAGTAATACACTGTATTTACGCTAAAAGTGCTCTATTTTCGCTGAAAACGCTAAATCATAGAGATTGTTGTGTGTTTATCCGTTTGGAGAGTATTATATCTCGTTGGAAAGATAGATCGGAGCTCTAAAGCTATTGTTCCAACTTCATTTACAATGCATTAATTAAAAGTTACAGATTAACCATATATTAACAAATGTTTCTGATTTCACTCTGAACTCTTGTAGAATTTGATGCGATCACATCTTGCTCTTTGTTGTGCCATTGAAAGCGTTTAATATCTCGTTTGAAAGATCATACCGAGTTTTAAAACATGTCTTCAGGCGCTGGTTTCAAAAAATCAAGGGATTATTGCCTAATTACTAAAATACACTGTGTTTACGCTAAAAGTGCTCTATTTTAGCTGAAAACGCCAAATCATAGAGATAAGGCTAAGTATTTGTGACACTCATATCCTGCTGTGTGTTTATCCGTTTGGGGCGTATTATATCTCTTTGGAAAGATAGATCGGAGCTCTAAAGCTATTGTTCCAACTTCATTTACAATGCATTAATTAAAAGTTACAAATTAACCATATATAAACAAATGTTTCTGATTTCACTCCGAACTCGTGTAGAATTTGATGCGATCATATCTTGCTCTATTTTGGGTCGTTGAAATTGTTTAATATCTCGTTGGAAAGATCTTACCGAGATCTAAAACTTGTTTTCAGGCGCTGGTTTCAGAATATCAAGGGATGATTGCCTAATTACTAAAATACACTGTATTTACACTAAAAGTGCTCTATTTTGGCTGAAAACGCTAAATCATAGAGATAAGGCTAAGTATTTGTGACACTCATATCTTGCTGTGTGTTTATCCGTTTGGAGCGTATTATATCTCGTTGAAAAGATAGATCGGAGCTCTAAAGCTATTGTTCCAACTTCATTTACAATTCATTAATTAAAAGTTACAGATTAACCATATATTCACAAATGTTTCTGATTTCACTCCGAACTCGTGTAGATTTGATGCGATCATATCTTTCTCTCTTTTGTGCCGTTGAAAGCGTTTAATATCTCGTTGGAAAGCTCTTACCGAGTTCTAAAACTTGTCTTCAGGATCTGGTATCAAAATATCAAGGGAGCATTGCCTAATTACTAAAATACACTGTACTTACGCTAACAGTGCTCTATTTTCGCTGAAAACGCTAAATCATAGAGATAAGGCTAAGTATTTGTGACACTCATATCTTGCTGTGTGTTTAACCGTTTGGAGCGTATTATATCTCGTTGGAAAGATAAATCGGAGCTACTACTACTACTACTACTACTACTACTACTAATAATAATAATAATAATAATAATAATAATAATAATAATAATAATAATAATAATAATAATAATAATCATAATAATAATAAAAATAAAAATAATAATAATAATAATAATAATAAGAATAAGAATAAGAATAATAATAATAATAAGAATAATAATAATAATAATAATAATAATAGTATTAATAATAGTAATAAAAATAGTAATAAAAATAGTAATACACTGTATTTACGCTAAAAGTGCTCTATTTTCGCTGAAAACGCTAAATCATAGAGATAAGGCTAAGTATTCGTGACACTCATATCTTGCTATGTGTTTATCCGTTTGGAGCGTATTATATCTCGTTGGAAAGATAGATCGGAGCTCTAAATCTATTGTTCCAACTTCATTTACAATGCATTAATTAAAAGTTACAAATTAACCATATATAAACAAATGTTTCTGATTTCACTCCGAACTCGTGTAGAATTTGATGCGATCATATCTTGCTCTTTGTTGTGCCGTTGAAAGCGTTTAATATCTCGTTTGAAAGATCTTACGTAGTTCTAAAACTTGTCTTCAGGCGCTGGTTTCAGAATATCAAGGGATGATTGCCTAATTACTAAAATACACTGTATTCACGCTAAAAGTGCTCTATTTTCCCTGAAAACGCTAAATCATAGAGATAAGGCTAAGTATTTGTGACACTCATATCTTGCTGTGTGTTTATCCGTTTGGAGCGTATTATATCTCGTTGGAAAGATAGATCGGAGTTCTAAAGCTATTGTTCTAACTTCATTTACAATGAATTAATTAAAAGTTACAGATTGACCATATATTCACAAATGTTTCTGATTTCACTCCGAACTCGTGTAGATTTGATGCGATCATATCTTGCTCTATTTTGTGCCATTGAAAACGTTTAATATCTCGTTGGAAAGATCTTACCATTTTCTAAAACTTGTCTTCAGGCGCTGGTTTCAAAATATCAAGGGATGATTGCCCAATTACTAAAATACACTGTATTTACGCTAAAAGTGCTCTATTTTCTCTGAAAACGCTAAATCATCTCTGTATTTGTGACACTCATATCTTGCTGTGTGTTTTTCCGTTTGGATCGTATTATATCTCGTTGGAAAGATAGATCTGAGCTCTAAAGCTATTGTTCAAACTTCATTTACAATGCATTAATTAAAAGTTACAGATTAACCATATATTCACAAATGTTTCTGATTTCACTCCGAGCTCGTGTAGAATTTGATGTGATCATATCTTGCTCTATTTTGTGCCGTTGAAAACGTCTAATATTTCGTTGGAAAGATCTTACCTAGTTCTTACACTTGTCTTCAGGTGTTGGTTTTAAAATATCAAGGGATGATTTCCTAATTACTAAAATACACTGTATATACGCTAAAAGTGATCTATTTTCGCTGAAAACGCTAAATCATAGAGATAAGGCTAAGTATTTGTGACACTCATATCTTGCTGTGTGTTTATCCGTTTGGAGCGTATTATATCTCGTTGGAAAGATAGATCGGAGCTCTAAAGCTATTGTTTCAACTTCATTTACAATGCATTAATTAAAAGTTACAGATTAACCATATATTCACAAATGTTTCTGATTTCACTCCGAACTCGTGTAGAATTTGATGCGATCATATCTTTCTCTATTTTGTGCCGTTGAAAGCGTTTAATATCTCGTTTGAAAGCTCTTACCGAGTTCTAAAACTTGTCTTCAGGATCTGGTTTCAAAATATCAAGGGAGCATTGCCTAATTACTAAAATACACTGTAATTACGCTAAAAGTGCTCTATTTTCGCTGAAAACGCTAAATCATAGAGATAAGGCTAAGTATTTGTAACACTCATATCTTGCTGAGTGTTTATCAGTTTGGAGCGTATTATATCTCGTTGGAAAGATAGATCGGAGCTCTAAAGCTATTGTTCCAACTTCATTTACAATGCATTAATTAAAAGTTACAGATTAACCATATATTCACAAATGTTTCTGATTTCACTCTGAACTCGTGTAGAATTTGATGCGATCATATCTTGCTCTATTTTGTGCCATTGAAAGCATTTAATATCTCATGGGAAAGATATTACCGAGTTCTAAAACATGTCTTTGGGCGCTGGTTTCAATTTTGTTTTTTGGATGAAATGTAAGTATATATAAAAAACACCCAAAAATAACATTTTACAATGTATCACACAAAATCTAGAAAGACTATCTAAGTTAGATGAATCTAACCTAAATATAATGCATCAACAAAATAATGGGGCATTCCCCATATCCACCTAATCAGAGAAATCAAATACAAACAATCAATTAAACGGCAGTGGGAAACAATATCAAATCAGCCTAAACCTATTTGAGCAGGCTCAGCTACCATCCTTTTCTTCATCTTCTTATATTGAGTAATTTTTTCCCAGTATTCGTCAAGAATTCTCTGTTCCTCCTCATCTTTCGGCTCATCATCAGATTCCTCATCTTCTGTGTCATCTTCCTCCTCTGATTCGGGCATGGAATCCGATTTAGCCCCCTGGGCAGTGGGCTCAGTCCCTGCAATCCCTTGGTCTGTGTGCAAACCCATAGTACCATCCAAAACAGCGTTGGCAGACCCCTGGGACACTGCCTGCCCAGTATCAGTTGGGTCAGTGCAGCACCCGGTCAGGTAAGCAGCAGCAGGAGGCTCCTGGACTGGCTGGGCAGCAGGTACAGTAGTTCCCACAATTTCCACTTGAGAACCCTCATTCACAATATCCTCTTTCTTATCAACAGTAGCCAAATCTCGTTCTTTTGATGCCAATTTATTGCAAATGAATGGGTGGTGTCCATACATTTTACAATGGAAACAAAAGTGAGGGAAAGTTTCATAAACCACCATTTGTTTGACTACCTTACCGGAAGGTAACCGTATAGGAAAAGAAAGCGAGGGTGGTTTAGAAACATCAACTTCAATCAGAACTCTGGCAAAGTGGTGATTACTCCTATTTTGAGTAACTTTGTCCGTAGAAAGCGGGACCCCCACCATAGATGCAACCTCACTCATAGCCTCCTCATTCCAAAGTTTCATATGTAGATTAGGAAATTTTACCCAAATCGGGACTTTGAGAAACTCATCATCATCAAAGGAAAAATCTTCCGAAAGCGTTTTTAACATGAGTTGTATACCAAAGATGGTATAAGGACCTCCATTCAACACTTTTGATCTATCTTCATCATTTTTAAATTTGAAAATAATCCATCCCTTGTTATGCTTATCAACCATGCAAGTAACCCCCCAAGTTTTTTTCAAGTCATACACCGCTTTAAGGCCCGGAAACTTCCCGGTAAAGAAACCCACAAGACAAAATCCCCACATGTCGACCATAGAGGGCAAGACTCTATCCGTAAAATCTAAAGAATTGCCTTTCGGCGGGATATACCTCAATTTCAAGCCCTTTGAGGGGTCCCGGTTGTCTTTGAAAAGTGAAGACCAAGCTCTAGCAGCCCCTGCACCCCCATATTCAGTTTGTGCAGGTGCTTTTTCAATCAGTTTTGCCCCTACATTAACTGCAGCAACAGTACCCTTAGCGGCAGGTGGAGCCTTAGCAGGTTGTTCCGGAGTAGTATGCTCATCCCCCTGAGTCAAAGCCAAAGTTTCTGCCAGACCAGCTGCTAGAGTAGCAGCCCCGGTATGCAGAGGTCCTTTCCCAGAGATGTTAGCAGCTGCATCCCCATTTGTATTCTTCTCCAGTGGCTGCTTAGCAATTGCTTGAGGAGCAGTCCCCATATGCCCTGTTTTTTCAGCACCTGCAGCATGGGAGTTCTGTCCAGCTTTCCCAAAGTCCCCAGAAGTGGTCTGCCCAGGCTTAGCAGTAAGTAAGGCCCCTGTAGCTGTAGGTTCTATACTAGTAGCTATTGCATCTTTCTTTGCAGTCACAGGTGTAGGCGAATTCCCAGTAGGTTTCCCAGGAGTTTTAACCTTAGCAGTTGGTTTGTCTCCCAGTTTCATCACATTCATGTTCTGCAATTCAGGGAAATTCTCATCCAAGTTTTCTAAAGCTTCGAGACCTGACTTGGTCTTAATCCCAGCCTGCATCGTTACCTGTTTAAGCAGTCCAGAAGTCCCTACAGCACCGGTTCTTTCTGCAGCAGCAGTGAATTCCGCAGCCCTTGTACCATGAATTTTCACACAGGCGACTGGGATTTCAACATCTATGTCTCCAAGAACATCAAACCTAGACGAAGAGCGCGTACAACGCATCCTGGGATTTTCCCCAAATTCGCGTCTATTTTTCCGCATCGCACACCACAGGAGACCTTTTTCAGACCTAAAATCTGATCAGGGTGCAGAGACAGACGAAATCCAGGTTGGCTAGCCGGTCCGGATACCACACCAGTCCCAATTAAACCTGTTCTGCAACGAAGCACCTGCGAAATACGAGCAGAAACCTTCGCACCAGAAAATCGATTTTGGCCAAGATGGCCTTAAAACAATATACCAGTAACTAATCCGAGCACGGAAATCAAAATGGGAGTGAAATTCGTCCGACAAACACAAAAAACGCAGCTCAGTCGAAGAATCGAAGGCAACCATCCTTCCGCGTGAGTCTGGAACGAAGGTTCCAGAGAGAGACGCTCTCAACACGCGTGAACTCCATTCAGGCGCGGAAAGTATGAACTCTAAGTTATACTTTGGGCGCTGGTTTCAAAATATCAAGGGATGATTGCCTAATTACTAAAATAAACTTTATTTACGCTAACAGTGCTCTATTTTCGCTGAAAACGCTAAATCATAGAGATAAGGCTAAGTATTTGTGACACTCATATCTTGCTGTGTGTTTAACCGTTTGGAGCGTATTATATCTCGTTGGAAAGATAGATCGGAGCTAATAATAATAATAATAATAATAATAATTATAATAATTATAATAATAATAATAATAATAATAATATAATAATAATAATAATAATAATAATGATAATGATAATAATCATAATAACAATAATAATACTAATAATAATAATAATAATAAGAATAATAATAATAATAAGAATAATAATAATAATAATAGTAATAATAATAGTACCAAAAATAGTAATACACTGTATTTACGCTAAAAGTGCTCTATTTTCGCTGAAAACGCTAAATCATAGAGATTGCTGTGTGTTTATCCGTTTGGAGAGTATTATATCTCGTTGGAAAGATAGATCGGAGCTCTAAAGCTATTGTTCCAACTTCATTTACAATGCATTAATTAAAAGTTACAGATTAACCATATATTAACAAATGTTTCTGATTTCACTCTGAACTCTTGTAGAATTTGATGCGATCACATCTTGCTCTTTGTTGTGCCATTGAAAGCGTTTAATATCTCGTTTGAAAGATCATACCGAGTTTTAAAACATGTCTTCAGGCGCTGGTTTCAAAAAATCAAGGGATTATTGCCTAATTACTAAAATACACTGTGTTTACGCTAAAAGTGCTCTATTTTAGCTGAAAACGCCAAATCATAGAGATAAGGCTAAGTATTTGTGACACTCATATCCTGCTGTGTGTTTATCCGTTTGGGGCGTATTATATCTCTTTGGAAAGATAGATCGGAGCTCTAAAGCTATTGTTCCAACTTCATTTACAATGCATTAATTAAAAGTTACAAATTAACCATATATAAACAAATGTTTCTGATTTCACTCCGAACTCGTGTAGAATTTGATGCGATCATATCTTGCTCTATTTTGGGTCGTTGAAATTGTTTAATATCTCGTTGGAAAGATCTTACCGAGATCTAAAACTTGTTTTCAGGCGCTGGTTTCAGAATATCAAGGGATGATTGCCTAATTACTAAAATACACTGTATTTACACTAAAAGTGCTCTATTTTCGCTGAAAACGCTAAATCATAGAGATAAGGCTAAGTATTTGTGACACTCATATCTTGCTGTGTGTTTATCCGTTTGGAGCGTATTATATCTCGTTGAAAAGATAGATCGGAGCTCTAAAGCTATTGTTCCAACTTCATTTACAATTCATTAATTAAAAGTTACAGATTAACCATATATTCACAAATGTTTCTGATTTCACTCCGAACTCGTGTAGATTTGATGCGATCATATCTTTCTCTCTTTTGTGCCGTTGAAAGCGTTTAATATCTCGTTGGAAAGCTCTTACCGAGTTCTAAAACTTGTCTTCAGGATCTGGTATCAAAATATCAAGGGAGCATTGCCTAATTACTAAAATACACTGTACTTACGCTAACAGTGCTCTATTTTCGCTGAAAACGCTAAATCATAGAGATAAGGCTAAGTATTTGTGACACTCATATCTTGCTGTGTGTTTAACCGTTTGGAGCGTATTATATCTCGTTGGAAAGATAAATCGGAGCTACTACTACTACTACTACTACTACTAATAATAATAATAATAATAATAATAATAATAATAATAATAATAATAATAATAATAATAATAATAATAATCATAATAATAATAAAAATAAAAATAATAATAATAATAATAATAATAATAATAATAATAAGAATAAGAATAATAATAATAATAAGAATAATAATAATAATAATAATAATAGTATTAATAATAGTAATAATAATAGTAATAAAAATAGTAATACACTGTATTTACGCTAAAAGTGCTCTATTTTCGCTGAAAACGCTAAATCATAGAGATAAGGCTAAGTATTCGTGACACTCATATCTTGCTATGTGTTTATCCGTTTGGAGCGTATTATATCTCGTTGGAAAGATAGATCGGAGCTCTAAATCTATTGTTCCAACTTCATTTACAATGCATTAATTAATAGTTACAAATTAACCATATATAAACAAATGTTTCTAATTTCACTCCGAACTCGTGTAGAATTTGATGCGATCATATCTTGCTCTTTGTTGTGCCGTTGAAAGCGTTTAATATCTCGTTTGAAAGATCTTACGTAGTTCTAAAACTTGTCTTCAGGCGCTGGTTTCAGAATATCAAGGGATGATTGCCTAATTACTAAAATACACTGTATTCACGCTAAAAGTGCTCTATTTTCCCTGAAAACGCTAAATCATAGAGATAAGGCTAAGTATTTGTGACACTCATATCTTGCTGTGTGTTTATCCGTTTGGAGCGTATTATATCTCGTTGGAAAGATAGATCGGAGTTCTAAAGCTATTGTTCTAACTTCATTTACAATGAATTAATTAAAAGTTACAGATTGACCAGATATTCACAAATGTTTCTGATTTCACTCCGAACTCGTGTAGAATTTGATGCGATCATATCTTTCTCTATTTTGTGCCATTGAAAGCATTTAATATCTCATTGGAAAGATCTTACCGAGTTCTAGAACATGTCTTTGGGCGCTGGTTTCAATTTTTTTTTTTTTGGATGAACCGTAAGTATATATATAGGAGGTAACCATCCAAAGAGTTTATGCCGTACAATCAAAAAGGTGGGCAAAATTGGAGGCAATCCAAAGAATGGATAACCCATCACCTCAAAAGCAAAACTAGAAGAGCTAGTTTAGCAAACTATGCATACTTGGCCGATCACAAAAACAAAAGGTGATGGGCATTAGCTAATCAAAAATCAACCAGCTCATGTGGGTATATGCTATACAAAACCTTGTAGACAATGTATTTAATTCGGGCAAAAACATCCTCGGTTTTGGGGGAGACTCCATCAAATTTGATAGCATTCCTAGTTCTCCAAATGTGGTAAACCGAGAAACAGAATGCAATCCGTGAGGCTTTAGCTTGGATGCTGGACCCTCTTCTTTCTTTCTTTATCCATTTGACCGAGCTTGATAGTGTGCTCATCAGCCGTGGCATGTTCATCCATTCTTTAACCAAGCTCCAAATTTTCCCTGAAAATGGACATTCAAAATATAGGTGTGACACCGTTTCCGGTCCACCCTTGCACATTACACAAGTGTTAACTACATCCAATCTATGGAGATTGTCACATGTAGCTAACCTATTTCGGAATGCCAACCAAGTAGTAAAGGAAAACTTAGGGGGAATATAGTCTTTCCAAATAAATGCCATCCAAGTACGAGGAGAAGCTTTGATTCTTAGCAAATTATACACTTTTGAGGATACAAGCTTGCCATTAGATTGGAAAGAATTTAAGCATTGAATAGTACTAGCAACATCATCAAACTTAGAGACAATTTCATCACGTACCATAGCAAGTTTTTTAATCAATTGGGAATCCCTATGGTGTGGAACAAAGTCCCACACATTTCGGCCATGGAGATAAACACTATGAACCCATTTAACCCAAAGTGTATCTTTTTTCAAATGAATATCCCAAAATGTTTTGGCAAGTAAGGCCGAGTTCCAAACTTTGGTGTCATGGATTCCAAGTCCCCCCTCATCTTTAGGCAGGCAAATATCAGCCCAAGACACCCTAGAGAATTTGCAACCCCAAAGGAAAATACGGCAAATAGATGTAATTCTATCAAGTATTACCTTAGGAATAGGAAACAATTGTAGCCAAAAGGAGTGCACGCCCTGAATAACAGATTTAATCAATTCAACTCTTCCTGCATAAGAAAGAGTTTTTAGATTCCAAGCACTAATGTAGTTAGTAATTGATTCTAGCAATGGAGCAAAG